TAAAATGGTTATTCCCAGTTTACTTTTATGGGAAGGAGTCTCTAACAGGCACCCAACATTACTAGTCCCTGGGCTTTGTCTTCGGTCCCCTTTGCCCTTTAAGACCATGAAAACCTAAGTTCACATGTACTCATTTTGAAAAATGGCCTTAAACTGAAATCTAATTTTAGTCCTCAGTTTGTTTTCTAAAGGATGGTCATGCTACTGGGCTGGTAATGAAAATTCCAAATGTTATCTTCGTAATTATGCGTCACATCTCCATATCAATGCCTACTGCAAGCATTTCAGTAACGCTGTTCTTTCTTCTCCAAGGCCAGGTGGACTGCCAGTTACCCAGTAATAGCAATATGAAATAGTGGATCTACCCGGTGAGAATTCACAAAGACACTGTGGCTTCTCATCCAAAATGTCATGCTGTAATGAGGGAGTCACAGCCAGCACGCGCGCATAATGAAAATCAAAATTATAAAAATATTAGGAACCTAACATTTTTATGGTAGCTGGAGAATATAGTTTTCTACCCGGTTACACGGTATAAATCATAGAAGACCAACAGATACACCACAGCTTTCTAGGAGAGCACTAGGAGAGCATTAACTAAAGGTGGGTTTCTCTGACAATTTGTGACTCTCATCCTTCAATGAATCTATCAGCACTCACCCTTCCATAGACCCTGCTGGGACTCACTTCCTGAACTAAGCCACCACCATGGTCCCCAGAAACCACAAAGTAAGAGGCCTGGACATGGCATAGCATAGCAGACCAGGTAATCTGGGGTGGAGGAGGCAGGGACATACAGAAGAAAGAGGAAGATTCAGTGATGGTGAGTTGCTATAAGGTAGGAGGTGAGGACAAGAGAAGGGCTTGTTTCTGTAAACACTTTCAGGCAGAGCTGGATAGCATCACTTAGAGCAGTGTTCCTCAAATATGCTCAGATAGGGGGCAGACTTACAAAAGTAAGAACTTAACATTTCCAGAGAGCTTGTCCCTGGAGATTCTGATTCAGTAAGCCTAGAGCAGGCGCCATGGGCTCTGCATGTTTCTGTTTAACAAGTGATGTCATGGTAGATAAAATACAGCCTGACTAAAAGTAAGGATAAATAAAGGTCTTCTAGAATCATGTTTTGTATACAAATAACCCAGTCATTCATGGAGATAGAACAATCACACTGAACATTGGCAGGGAGCATAGACAAAATAGTGAACAAAAATCCAAACTATCTCAATGTTGTCCTTTATGAGAGCATTAAGCCCACCCTAAGTAGTTGACCAGGTTTCTAAGAATTAAGTTAAAAATATGACAGAAGTCTTCGGTAGCTGGACCCAAAGCTTTAGAAAAGGAACTGGGAGGAATGCATATTGTCTGCTGCCACCTTGTGGCACAAGGGTGTAGTTAATGAAGATGGGTTGCAAGCCTAAAGATGGATCCCTTGACAAATATTAATTTGGAAAAAAATCACTTGAATTATGAATGCCTTTTCCTTTAAAAATATTATTAAAATTTATAATTCTGTTGATACAAGCAATGAGAACTGTCAAAGACAAGTGATATAAAATATTAAATATCCTTTTAGCATAGCAAACGCTATTCTGCCATTTATGTGTGAGAGACAAACTTGTTTTTCCAGGGCTACTCTTTTTTTCCTTCGAATAAGATGGTGAACAGGTGGTGACAGGTAGGAAACGGGGAGTGTGTCAATGAGAGAATTCTCTGCCATCCCACCCTTCATCTCTCCCATTTTCCCAATTCTCTGGGTGAGGCTACCTCTCTGGATCAGGATAGGCTATTGGAAAGGTGTCAGATGGCTGACTGGGGCTTTTGGAAAATACAGGCCTCACCAGTAGCTGGAGAATATGGTTATCGACATGGTGAGAAATGAAAGGTTCTACAAAGATCTGCGCTCTTCTCAATATCTTCTCTAGCACTCTGAACTGTGGGCTGAAGTTTAGGGGTATCCTAAATTGATCTGGCTCCATTTCCCTGAGCTTCTCCTTAGTTCTGTCCACCTCTGTGTTGGTTTCATTAGGCTCCAACGGTTTTGGGCTTCACATAAAATATAAGTAAACTGCTTTAGTTCTACTACACCAAGCAATTCACTCTGATTAAACTGTGCATTTTTTACTGCTAGGACTTTGGCTTGGGGAATGGGGCTTACTATTTGTATTAACACATTCCTTGGAGATGTAAGTGAAGTCAGCTTCCCCAAAGACATACAGAATGAAGGGAGCTGAATGGATACATGAATAAAATGTATCACTGGTTGTGCTCTGTTAAGAGGTGAGAGAGGGGAATGGATACCAGGTCGGCAACCAGCCCTATTCACTTAGTATCAATGACTGATTTATCACAATACAACATAATTTCATTTGAGGTGATGATACTCAAATGAAACTCAACGAGTCTGAGGAAAATGATGAATAGTGGGGATTTTAGCAAACAGGAATAAAAGTGGCAGCACTATTCAGCTCCAGGCAAGGTAGCCGTGCAAGAATATAACCCCAGTGTTGCTAGATCTTCCATATTTTCAAGAGAATTTGCAATGTGGACTTTTATGTAAAATGTCTGATTTTAAATGTTGACAAAGTCAGTTTTTGTTTTTACCACAAAAGGCAGCTAATACTGTTTAAAATAAACAAAGCATATCTGTTGACCAAAGACAGTCTGTGAAATTCTTGCTTGCCATTCAGTGTTCTGTGGATGCAAGGTTTGCCAAGAGCCGAGCAGCTAAAGGGGGGAGATCAGAGAATTAGTGCGGTGTCTCATACAATGCGGTCCAGCAGGTGGGCCCCCAAACACAGTTCAGGCTTCTGCTTTATCCAACGAAATGTGAAGTCCAGTTGGAGCCACGTCTTCCCAGGCTCGTACCTGAAACCATGAACACTTGTTTCCTATTGTTTACCTTCTTACTTTCCCACAGGGAAGACCCAGCAGGCTCGGGGACCAAAGTCGTCCCACTTTTAGAAATCCAGCATGGATTAGATTTTATTTTTTCAAAGATGCCTAAATTCCACTGTTGGTTTTTTTGGGTTTTTGTTGTTTGTTTGTTTGTTTTGAAATATAGCCATTTCTCTTATATCTCTGGACCTCTATCTGATGTCATTGGGTAGTTTTACATAGTTCTGCCAGGCATACAGCTTTTTATTGATAAGTTAGATTGATTAGACCCCTATCATTAAAACATTTAGTTTAACTGAATAGGAAATAGCACTTTATCCACCAAAAAGCAATACTTAATTAGCTTAAAATAGACTAATGTTGCAATCAGAGATCAGAAACTATTGTGTTTCTTATCGTTTCCCTGGTTATTTTCTTGTCCCAAAGAAGCACAAAAACAGTAATTGTCAATACCGTTCGCAATTTATAATCTTGGGGGGAGGATGGGAGCGTGGGGTTGGGGGTGCTTTTGAAGGAGTGTCAGCGTCCAGGACCACCCTAGACACCTACACTCCCCCGAGTGTTTCTAATGTGCAGGCAGCGTTGTATAGTTCCCTGTAAGAACAATCGACAAGCCTAGACACCCATAGAAATCGCTTGCATTTTCACCCGAACCCTTCAACCCGAGGCTCCCCGTTAACGTTTTCCCCGTGTCCGAGGCTATTTTTTTCCAGCTCGGAGATTGACAGGGCCCTCAGCCAATCGGCAATTTGAACGAGTCTCGGTGGAAGCAGTAACAGGCAACAGAACAAGGCACTTTAAGTAGAAAAGCCAGGTTGCCATAAGAGATCAACGAGCCAAAAAAAGTCAGGGGCATAGCTCCATCATCAGAGAGGCCGGGGTACACCTGGGGCTCTCAGCGGACCGCCCAATCCCCTGCGTTGCTAGAGAGACGGCGCCTACTTCCGGGTCCTCGGCGCCCGCCCCCGCGGTGCGTTACGTCACTTCCGTCCGCTGGTTAAAGCGACACCGTCTTTTTTTCCCTTCCTTCTCCCTGGCCCCGCCTCCCGGAAGTTCCGCTGGGTCTGCGCCTGCGGGTCCGGGGTGAGGGGTGGGAGGGCTCCGTGGACGTTGGAGGGTAGGTGCCGGGAGTTCTGCTCTCGGGCATCGCGATCTGGAAGAAGCCAGGTTAGATCTCGGCCGAGGGTGCGATGGGTTGTGCGATGGGTCGGGAACCTCCACCCTCCCCGGCTCGGGGCCTCCTCCTCCCGGGCCTGCCCTTGCCCGTGCCGGAGCCTGGGTCCTTGGCCACTCGCGAGTGAGATCGAGGCCCTGGTCCTGCCCCACCAGCTCCTTTCTCTCCACGCGAGGGCCGACTCAGGTTGCTGCACCGGTACCCTCCCCGCTGGAGCTTGCATCGGAGGCAGTGTGAGGTCTCGGTGATGGCGGGGCCGCTTTTCTCCAGTAGCAAAGCGCTTTGGCATCCGTTCTGCTTCCTTTGAGCTCGGGGACCCTGGGAGACAGCTGGGACAGACAAAATGCTTGTTCGCTCCCCTTGTGCATAGGAGGAAAGCGAAGCTCAGGAACTTCCTCTTGCAAGGCAGCACGGCTCCCTAAAAGGTCGAGCTGGGATTCGCACCGAGGTCTAGCTTCGCTAGGGCTGCAGAAAACCGTGGGGGGGGGGGGGGGGCATTTGGGAATAGGAAAGAAACTGCAGATGTAGAAAGGAGAGGTGGCATTTCTGAGAGCATGCTTCATGTCAGGCTCCATGCTAAGTTTTTTCTCTCTACTTATTCATTCCTTACAAGGGGATTAGGAAGATTAGACTACTCCTGTTATTCCTGGTTTAGGAAATACAGGCTCAGAGATAAATGACTTGTCCAATATTAATGACTTAGTAGACATCTCCGGATCTCTTTTCAGCTCTGATTCTCCCAATGCAGTAGAATTAGCTTTTGTCTCAAATTGTATTTTTCTGATTTCGGCATGTCAGCAAGTGAGATTTCTTTTTCTCTTCATCCTTCACCCATTACCTTTTTTTCTTACCAGCATCCTCTTTAGATGTGTGTAGTCGTGTAAATTCAACCCTCGGTTGTCCTCCACAGTTTGCGTCTTTCCTTCCAAGAGGAATTTGGGGAACATGATGGTGTGGAGTGTATGGGTCCAGGTTGAAAGGTTGGCCAGGAGAACGGTTAGTTTTCACATCACAGGCGGTCTCTTTTTATGGTTGCTTTCCTAGCAGATCTTATCTACGTTTCTGTCTTTTTTCCCCTCCAGGAAAACAGCTCTCACCTTGTGCCAAGATGTCAGGAATTGGAAACAAAAGAATGGCTGGAGAGCCTGGCACGTCCATACCTCCGGAGAAGAAGACAGCTGTGGAAGATTCGGGGACCACGGTGGAGACAATTAAGCTCGGGGGTGTCTCTTCAACGGTATGTGGAAACAGTGCCCTGGGAGTGTGCTTTTCTTCTGTCAGTTACAACCTGAAAGTGAAAAATGTTGGAGGCCTTCTGGAGTAAGAGGAACTGATTTGAAAAAAAAGAGGGAAATAAAACAGCCAAAAGTAGGTCTGTTCAGTTCTGAAGAAGAGAGACTGACATTTGATCTTTATTTTCAAAGGTGTGCTTATATTCTTTGGAGAATCTGGTGCCCGATACACATCAATGATAGGTATTTAGCAGAGGGAAACTGTATTCGTTTTTTCATTCACCGAAAAATTAGGTGCCAGGTACTAAGAGGTAATGTAGCAAAATCATGGAAAGAGTGAAGACTCAGAGTTGGAAGCCCGACTGCCTGGAATTGACTCTCAGTTCCATCACTTCTGGCTACATGGCCTTGTGTTAGCCTCTCTGTACCTCTTGTTTCCTTGTCTGCAGAATGTACCTATAAATACCTATCCCATTGGGTTATTGAAAGGATAAAATGAAAGTCCTTGTTAAGGATTAAAATACTACCTTTAACATGGTAAGTACTCAGTGCATTTGAGCTATTAATGGTTGTTATTGGGCCAGATATTCTGAAAATAATGGTGAATAAAACTGCCCTTGCTCTTATGAAGTTGACATTTTCATTAGACTATTGTACTCCAAAAGTTAATAGTAATGTTATGTGTCTATTGGACATCAGAAGCTCACTATAATAAGTTTTGTTTTAGATCAAGAGTTGAGTGTGTATTTTGGAACTCAAGCCATGGGGATATGATATGAGAATGCTTTACATTTGATAGCTTATGAAACCACACCTGTTATTTATTTGAATGGAGGCTGAGGATCAGAGAGAATAATAGGAGCATTCAGAGTAAATTGATTAAGTGTCATTTCCGAGTCTGTCTGGGGTTCAAGTACTGCTGCCAGAAGATGATTTTGTCCTAACACTGTCTCACATCCTGTATCCCAAAGACGTTTATTCACTCAATAAATGTGAATATTTGTTAAGCATCTGTTATTTGCCAGACACCGTGCTTTACACTGAGCATAGCTCCTGGATGCAGTTTGTAGGGTGGCGCTGACAAGGGAACAGGCTGTTAGAATAGAGTGGGATGTGTGCTGTTCTTAGGGATAACCGCATGTTCTAAGTGAAGCAAGATACATACCAGCTTGGACTTGACCCAGAAGACTGTGAGGGGCCATTGGAAAGTCTTAAGCAGGGAAGTAACTAAGACTCCAAAGTGCGCTTGAAATGGCAACACTAGCAATGTGAATGGAGCTGTCCGCCACAGGTGTGCTGAAATCGGCAGGCTGACAGGAGATGGCATGGGCCCTAAAGTGCCTGCTACAGGAAGCTATTGCAGTAATCTTGATGAGGGATCATGGTGGTTAGACTACTGTGGAGGTAGCCTCCACAAGATATGCTGATGGATCAGATGAAGCAATGAGAGAAGGGCAGCAAGATGACCGCAGGTTTTGGAAGCATGGTGTTTGCACTTACTGAGCTAGGGAAGAGTGTGAGAGGAGCAGATTTTTGGGAGCTGTGGAGGATGAATCATAATTTTAATGTTGGATATGTAAGTTTGATTTATCTATTAGACCTCTGAGTGAATAGGTAGTGGGACATGTAATATGCAGTCTGGGGAGAGGTAGATATTTAAGCCTGTCCTCTAAGGAATGAGCATAGATGAAGAGATCTGAGACAGAACCCTGGAGCACTGCAACATGTTGATGTGAAGGAGATGAGAAAAGACTAATCAAGAGACAGAAAAAGAGGGGCCAGTGAAGTAGGAGGGGAATCAGAGAGTGGGGTCCCAGACGCCAAGGGAAGAAAATGTTTCTAGAAGGACTTTTTTTTAATATATTTTATTGATTTTTTACAGAGAGGAAGGGAGAGAGATAGAGAGTTAGAAACATCGATGAGAGAGAAACATCGATCAGCTGCCTCCTGCACATTTCCCACTGGGGATGTGCCCACAACCCAGGTACATGCCCTTGACCGGAATCGAACCTGGGACCTTTCAGTCCACAGGCCGACGCTCTATCCACTGAGCCAAACCGGTTTCGGCTCTAGAAGGACTTGATCAGATGCTGCTGATGGGTTGGGTAAGGGGAGGACTGAGTGGTAATATACAGCATGTTTGTTGATGAAAATGACTGTGTAAAGAAAGAAGATAAAATTGATGATGTAGCAGAAAGAGGAGACAGTTATGGGTGTGATTTCCTTGAATAGAAGGATGGGGGAATTGACCTTAACTGAACAGTTACCAACAAGGAGGAGGAAAGGGATAGATATGCTAGCGGAGAGGTCAGTAGCTGTTGCTCTGGGAGATAGATGTGAATGTTTTCTTCTGATTGCTTCTATTTTTTTTTTCCAGTGAAATCAAAAGCAAGACTCATCTGAGAGTGAGGATGGGGGAGGAAGTTTGGAGGTTTGAAGAGACAGGAGAAGGTATGAAGTAGTTGTCTTGAAGAGAATGAACTAGAGAGGTGGAGTAGGGTTGCTGTGCAGCACTGAGGATCTTCTTGAATTTGTAATCATGAGTTTAAAGTGAGAGCAATCAGCATGGTGCTTTCTTTTCTCTAGTCACATTCAGCTGCGTGGAGGTAGGCCTGTGTGGAGTAGGTGCAGAGTTGGATGTTACCAAGATTGGGGTTTTTAACCAGGCAAGTATGATGAAGGAGAAGGTTATAAAAGGGTGTGATTATAATGACTAATGACAGAATTTAGTGTGATAAAGGAGGAATTGAGGAAGTGGGAGGAATGAAGGACATCAAAAAATATAGGACCAATAGATTATAGATTGTTGGAGTCAGGAAACTAGAGAGAGTAAGCTGGAATATGGGTGGTGACTGTGGAGAGTGGGGTGTTTGAATTGATCTTATAGAGAACATGCAGGTACAGCTAGGACTAACTGAGAGTTTGGCGAGTGAGGGAAGTAGAGGACAAGATCACTGGAAGAGAGGAGGTCCATGACTTGGTCCAGTATTCATAGGAAAGACCATCACTGTGGGAATTGAAATGAGTAAGAACTTGGACAGGAGTTAGTATTGCAGAGAGATGACAATCTAGTGCTAAGTCTTCAGGAAATGTAGGGAAGTGACCTGGGCATTTATAGACGAGTGCAGCAAGGCAGGATGGCAGGTGGTACAGACCAATGGCATGAACTCTGCAGAGCTGGGAGGTTTGGGGGAAGAAGGTGGGATAATGTCCTGGGTGTGGCAGTGGGGAACAAGGAGGACACCTCCCCGTCTTCAGATCCAGGGCTCTAAGGGGGGTGGGAGGGAAACAATCACTACTGGAGAAGCCTATGGGGAAATGGTATTTTCATTCAGGTTTCAATTACACAAGAAGGGGAAGAGGTGCTCAGAAAAGAGGTTGAAGGTATAGTTTATTAACAGTGTTAGTAAACTGGTACATTGGGAAGCTATTGACTCTTTTGGTATATCAAGAATGTTTTAACCAATATGGAAGAGAAAAGAAAAACAAGAAATTGGTGCTCCAACAAATAGTTCTTACCTTAAAATATTCATTAATTCCTAGGTAAAGTAAAAATCCCCTTTCCAATCGTGTTTCTTGACCTGGAATACTGCCCCCCCCCCCCCCCAATTCATCCCCCACCCCAACCTATGGAAGGAGCTAGAGAGAGACAAGTTAGAGATATTGACAGGCTGTGGAATTACGGATGGAGTGATGTCATTGCAGAAACGGTTCCGAGCCCAAGTTGAGGTTTAAGAATATGTGCACAGGTTGGTTAGTGATGTGAAGGGGTCAAGGAGATGGGGAATTGAGGAGCTTCCCATCTGACGCCTTTTGTTTTCTCTTTAAAGTGGGAAGCAGAGTCGTCTGCTCTGTGTGACGTGAGAGGAGGCAGGGCTTGGTAGTTTGATATTGTTTTGATGGAGAACAGGAACACGCTCCCTTGTTAAAGAAAGAAACGCTTCCAGAGAAATTTCAAGATCTATTCAGGTTAGGAATGTATTTTATAAAGGCAGCAGTCTCCCTGATTTAATGACCTTATTTAGAAGTCTCAGCATACTGGGTACAGGAATGGAATAGTCAGACATGTGGATTAGTTCCGAATGGGGCTTGTTCGAAGAGGTGAATTAAAAGGATTAGGGCAGAGAATTGAGGGGCCTGATAGGCAGGAGTTTGAATGACTATACTGTAGGGCAAGCGTGTCAAACTCAAAGGCTAACACGGGCCAAATACCAAGGTTTAAGTTTATGTGGGCCACAAAAAACCAAAAGCTTAAATTTTCATAGAAACATAGGTTTATTTCGGTAGAGACATGCTGGATACAAAGGGCTGAAAGAAATGAGTAATTGTTAACATAAAATAATAGAACATTTAATAAAAATTAATATTTTTTCTTGGACATTAATTTACCAGACACTGAGTAACTGCACAAATTAATAAGCGTAATGCAAATAAACCTATTTTTCTTATTCTCCGAAAGCGAAATGTTTCCTGTTGTGCACACCAAACAAGCCAGTCCAAGACTAAGGATGTGGCAGTCGGCTGCTGAGATATTCGTTGCTAGTATTAGACCTGCACGTAAGGCCCATAAGGGAAATGAATGCAACACGATTATAGTAATCAGTCATTATCGAGCGTTGTAGTTCGTTATTAATAATTATGTATAACAGGATATTGTAAAAATTAAGTTACGAAATTTTTATGAAAATGTTTCTTACATGCTGTTATATTGGATGGGCCACAAAAATATTCATTGTGAGCCGCGAGTTTGACATGCTTGCTGTAGGGTATAGTCAAGGTATGGAAGATATAGAGGGGACTGACAGGGAGAAAGGCGAGATTTCAAAATGTTGGAGATCTAGTTGAAGGCTGGTGTATTTGGATAGGGCGTGAGATACCTGGGAAGATACGGTTTTATTCAGGGAATGGGAAGTTGGAATTTAAGACTTCAGATGTGGCACGGTTACAGACAAAAGTCCAAGATGTGGCTTTTGAAGTGCATGACTGAAGAACAGTAGAGGAGAGAATCATTGGAGTTAAGGAGTCCAAAACACAGCCTAGATCAGCGGTTCTCAACCTGTGGGTCGAGACCGCTTTGGCGGTCAAACGACCCTTTCACAGGGATCGCCTAAGACCATCCTGCATATCAGATATTTACATTATGATTCATAACAGTAGCAACATTACAGTTATGAAGTAGCAACAAAAATAATTTTATGGTTGGGTCACAACATGAGGGAACTGTATTTAAAGGGCCAGAAGGTTGAGAACCACTGGGCCTAGATGCTAGAGGATGTGGCTTGTTCACATGTGGACATGTGCACACGTATATTGAGGGAGTGGGGTAGAGAAGGTTTCAAAGTCTTGAATGAATGAAGGGCAGTGCCTAAGGTGATAGATGACTGGATCCGGGTAGAGGTGATCTAGCAGGATGGTGGAGCCTCACAGTAGTAATACTTTGTGGACTTGAATAGATTAGTGAGATGAGCAAGGTTGAGATTCTAATATATTTCTGTGTATCATTTTCTCCTCCCATCATCATAGACCCTTTATTTCTTCTGCTCCTACTACTTACCTAATTATTTATTGTAAACCTTTAAGAAATAAATAGCTGCCGAAACCGGTTTGGCTCAGTGGATAGAGCGTCGGCCTGCGGACTGAAAGGTCCCAGGTTCGATTCCGGTCAAGGGCATGTATCTGGGTTGCGGGCACATCCCCAGTAGGAGATGTGCAGGAGGCAGCTGATCGATGTTTCTCTCTCATTGATGTTTCTAACTCTCTATCTCTCTCCCTTCCTCTCTGTAAAAAATCAATAAAATATATTTTAAAAAAAAAAGAAAGAAATAAATAGCTTTATCCGTAGGAAATAACGAATTAACTAATAAGACCTTGTTGAATTCAACAGCTGATTGTCTGATTTCATTGTGAAAACTAATAAGATTGGTTTCCCGGGGCAGGAGGATTCAGACATTCGAACACTGCAAGCCAAAAATCGCAAGTTGGCAGAAATGCTGGATCAGCGGCAGACCATTGAAGATGAACTCCGGGAGCACATTGAAAAACTTGAACGAAGACAGGCCACTGATGACGCCTCCCTGTTGATTGTCAACCGGTACTGGAGTCAGGTAGCTAACTGTTCATTTGCTCAGATTTTTATTTGAGCATTTTTGTTCTCCGGAGCAGCATTCTCTTCATTTCCAAAGTGTGTCTTTGTCCTATCTAATAAAAGACAAAAAGGGTAATTAACTGTACCTCCGCTACGCTTCCCATTGGCTAATCAGCGAGATATGCAAATTAACTGCCAACAAAGATGGCGGCCGGCAGCCACGCAGCTGAAGCGAGCAGGAGGCTTGCTTGCTCCAGTGATGGAGGAAGCCAAGGTTCCCCACCTGCCGCGGCCTGCTCTAAGCTCTGAAAGCAACAGCTCCAAAAGCAACAAAGTTTCAATTATAGAAGCTAAACAAATCCCAGATACCTGCTTTCAGCCAGCCGGCCTCAGAGCTGGGAGCGCCAGTGAAGGCAACAGAGTTTCAATTATAGAAGGTAAATAAACCCCAGAATAAAAAAAAAGAAAAAAAGGAGAGGCTGGGAGCTTCAGTCGCAGGCCAGCCTGAAAACGGCCCTGAGCCACTCACCCAGACTGGCCAGGTACCCCAGTGGGGACCCCCACCCTGAAGGGGGTGTGGCCAGCCTTAAAACAGCCATTAGCCCCTCATCCAGGCTGGCCAGGCACCCAAGCGGGACCCCCACCCTGATCCGGGACACCCTTCAGGGCAAACCAGCCGGCCCCCACCTGTGCACCAGGCCTCTATCCTATATAGTAAAAGGGTAATATGCAGACTGACCCTAACAGCAGAAAGACTGGGAATGACTGGTCACTATGACACACACTGGCCACCAGGGGGCAGACACTCAATGCAGGAGCTGCCCCCTGGTGGTCAGTGCGCTCCCACATGGGGAAGCTCTGCTCAGCCACAAGCCAGGCTGACAGCTGCCAGTACAGCGGTGGTGGTGGGAGCCTCTCCTGCCTCAGCAGTGCTAAGGATGTCTGACTGCAGCTTAGGTCTGCTCCCCGCTGGCAAGTGAACATCCCCCGAGGGCTGCTGGGCTGCCAGAGGGATGTCTGATTGCCAGCTTAGGCCCAATCCCCGGGGAGCAGGCCTAAGCCAGCAGGTGGTCATCCCCCGAGGGGTCCCAGACTGTGAGAGGGCACAGGCCGGGCTGAGAGACCCCCCCCCCCACCCACAGGGCACAAATTTTTGTGCACCAGGCCTCTAGTTTTATTATAACTGCCAAATTTGTGTCATTTTATATTTTTATAACTGTACCTAATCTTCTCCAGTTTGATGAAAACATCCGTATCATCCTTAAACGTTACGATCTGCAGCAGGGTTTGGGGGACCTCCTCACAGAGAGAAAAGCCCTCGTTGTGCCCGAACCAGAACCAGACTCTGACAGCAATCAGGAACGGAAAGATGACCGGGACAGAGGTGAGTACTGTCAGGGACTTACCACTGCATGCTTTTTTATTCTTTTTCTTTTTTTCTTTGAAGAGCCTTGCTTTGAAGCTTTCCATTTGAGAAAGAATGAGTTTTGATATTTCCATTTGAATAATTTGGAGGGGGGGGCCTTCTTTTTCCCTCTTCAGGGGAAGGGCAAGAGCCAGCCTTCTCTTTCCTTGCTACGCTGGCCAGCAGCTCCAGTGAAGAGATAGAATCTCAGCTGCAGGAGCGCGTGGAGTCCTCCCGCCGAGCTGTGTCCCAAATTGTGACTGTCTATGATAAATTGCAAGAAAAAGTGGAGCTCCTATCCCGGAAGCTAAACAGTGGAGGTGAGACTAGAACCAGGAGATGGGGAGCAGAGGGGGAGGAATAAGAACTCACCTTTGCATACTAATTTGTTCTTACATATTTATTTTTAATTAAATTTCTTGGAATCCTAATCTTCAATGTTACCGGTTACGTCCTTACTGAGTATTTTATGAGTGCTTCACATGTTGAGCCACATGGCAGTCCTATAAGAAGCCGAGAAAAGATTTATCAGCCCATTCTGATACTCTATTAATTAGACCAGGAGTCCTCAAACTACGGCCTGCGGGCCACAGGCAAATACAAATATTGTATTTGTTCCCGTTTTGTTTTTTTACTTCAAAATAAGATATGTGCAGTGTGCATAGGGATTTGTTCATAGTTTTTTTTTTTAAACTATAGTCCGGCCCTCCAACGGTCTGAGGGACAGTGAACTGGCCCCCTGTTTAAAAAGTTTGAGGACCCCTGAATTAGACACTTTTAGAAGTAGCAGAATTAATTTTATTATGTAAGAAATAGCTCTGTTTCTGTATATTTGTATAGTGTTTGCCATTAATTTATTAGTGATAAGTATTTTAAATATTGGTAATTATATTTTTAAAAAATTTCCTTTGTTGATTAGATATTATTTTTTTTTTAATTTCAAAGAGTCAGTTTTTTTTAAATGAAATATTTTATGTTCTTTTTTTAAAAATATGTTTTTATTGATTTCAAAGAGAGGAAGGGAGAGGGAGAGAGAGATAGAAGCATCAGTGATGAGAGAGAATCATTGCTCAGCTGTCTCCTATGTGCCCCACACTGGAGATTGAGCCCACAACCCAGGCATGTGCCTTGACTGGGAATTCAGCTGTGACTTCCTGGTTCATTTGACCACACTCAGCCACTAAGCCAAGCTGGCTGAGCTATGCTCTTTATTCTTTATGACTTTACTAGAGGCCTGGTGCACAAAAATTTGTGCACGGGGGTCATCCCTCAGCCCGGCCAGTGCCCTCTTGCAGTCTGGGACCCCTTGGGGGATGACCACCTGCTGGCTTAGGCCCGCTCCCTGGGGGATTGGGCCTAAGCTGGCAGGCATCCCTCTGACAGCCCAGGAGCCCTCGGGGGATGTTCACTTGCCAGCGGGGAGCAGGCCTAAACTGCAGTTGGACATCCTTAGCGCTGCTGAGGAGGCAGGAGAGGCTCCCACCACCACCGCTGTACTGGCAGCTGTCAGCTTG